AGCAGCACATGTAGGGGGAGAGGCAGCACTTCTGCAATCAGAGACCTGGAACCCCACTTGCAAAGGTAGAATCAACAGGATTTGGCCAACTAGGATATGGGGGGAGAAAGAATAAGGACTTGAGGATGACACCTAAGTTGCCAGAGCCTGGGTGACTGGGAGGATGGTGTGCTTGACAAGAAGAAGTGGAGGCAAAGGGGAGCATGACCCTTCAAGTGTTTGAAGGCCTCTCCTCAGGAAAAGAAAGGAGATTTAACAGAGAAGGGGAGTGGAGATATAGGACAATAGCTAGCAGGGAGAGTGGAATAAAGTGAAGGTTTTAAAGAATGAGGGAGAAATGGGCATCTTTGTAAGGCAGCAGAGAAGGAGCCAGTAGATAAGGAGAGATTGAAGATTAGAGAAAGTGGGGGCAATAGAGGACACAATCTGCCAGAGATGACAGGAAGGGATAGGATGTGCATGCAGAGGGTTTTGCCTTAGCAAGCAGAAGGAGATGTCAAAAAAGAAGGAAATCAATGTTGGCTGGAGTTATTGGAAAAATTTGAGAGTTCTTTTCACTTTTCAAAATTGCCTCATCTCTGGAATCTGATTTCTTCAGGCACAAAGATGGGTTTTAAGTATTTATCACTTATGTAACAGTTTATAAATTGAATAGAGGAGACTTTTAAGCTTGTTTGGGGTATAGAGGACAGCATTAAAGTCTCCAGTCACTCTCACGTTCAGGAAAGGAAGATTCATGCTTGGGCGTGAGCTGAGAAAGGCTCCCGGAAAAAATTGGCATTAACAGTGTGGGCTTATTGTGAAATGTGGAATGGTATCTTTTTATTAAAAAGCAAACCTGGGGTGCCTAGCACAAATTCTTGTCCAGCGTCCATGTGGGCTTGTGCCCTGTAAGCATGTTTTATTGAACTATGACAAGAGAAAACTCAATGAAAAACTAATTTCCTGTGTTGGGACTGAGGGAGCTGTACCGATATACTTACCCAGCCTGAAGTCCTGACCTCAGCAACCTCTGCAGTCCCTGCTCATGGGTTTCCTACTGTTTTCTACTGTTCCAGAGAAATTCTTAAACCAATTCAGGCTCTTAAATCGCATCAGCTGTTTTTTCTATTCATCACCTACCTGGTATTTGCACTAGTTCTGTGAGTTAGGCAAGGGAAAGAATATCAGCATCAGTTTGCAGAAGAGAAAACAGAGCAGTCTAATGGAATGAAGAAACTCACTGGATTTGGGGTCAGCAGACCCGGGGTCTGCCTCAGCTTTGTCACTGACTTACCATTTGACAGTGGGCAAATTCCTTTCCCCTGCCGAGCCTCAGTTTCTTCCTCTGTGAGGCAGTAATAATATTACTCACACTTTCTGCTTTTCAGGATAAGAACCTTAGAGTGCAATAGAAACAGTTTTTATCAGTCTCCTGAGATCTCCTAGGAGAATCATGCATCAAAATGACATCTTCTGGTCTGATCTATTGATTGGGACATGTTTCCTCTTCTCTCTCTATGGTTGTAATCATATAACTCATATTTTTATAGCACTTTAAGGTTTAAAAAGTACTTTTCTCTTGAAAGGTCTGTGATATAGGGAGCAAAAATATTAGCCACCCTTTGCACAGGAGGAAATTGTAAGCCCAGATTTGGAAAATGATCTACCCAATGTCACACGGCAAGTTAGTAAACAGAGATAGGCCTAGAATCCATGGCTTCTTAATCCAAATACAAGGGGTTTCTCCCTATACCATGTGACTACATGCCATAGCTACTGGCCATCCAGTTGTTCATCACTGGTTTGTTGACTTTTAATATACAACGAATCACAGATGGACACTGAGCACATAAGAAACATTTTTGCCCATGTATGTCCAGATTGCTGAAGGAAGAAATGGCAATAACTCCAGTATCTTTGCCAAGAAAACTCCACGGACAATATTGGTGGACTATGGTCTACGGCGTCAAAAAAAAATTGGACATGACTGAACAACCACCACAGATGTCCAATTTGTACCCCCAAATCCAGGTTACACAGTGAAGATCTCATCTAGGTTCCAATTAGCTGCAGGATTTTGGTTTTGTGTTTTGTTTTTTGGTTGGTTTTGTTTTTTGGGTTTTTTTGGTATACCTGTAACAACCAGATGCAAATGGGCATCAGATCAGTTTTATTTGGGGTCTAGGTGGGGCTAGGCACTCGTCCATTTTCCTTACTATTGATCAGCAAATACTTTCTAAATGGTTGATTTTGTGGTGTAAGTGGCCACATTGGAAAAGTAAAAGATGACCCCATATGCAAAACTTACATATCTGAAGACAAATTTATTGGAATGATATTTTGGGGTATAGTTGCTGGGAGTTTGGTCTCTCAGTAAGATACAAGCATATAGTTGCTAGATCCCTTTCATTTTCAGTAGTGGACGTGTTCTTCTAGTCCCGTCCCATGTCTCATTTCAAACGGACTGTTCGTTCTACTGATGTAAGTTCTACACTTAGGAGTCACATCCGCAAGAAGACAGTGGCCCCAGGAGGGAAATGCTGTCACTCCCATGTCTAGGAGTGGTCACTTTTCTCCTACTGTGTGCTATGAGGTTCTTGTCATTTTTCCTAACTTCCAAGCTTTATACCCTGTGGAACTGAGGGAGTCAGAAACCAGCCTTCAGTTTTACTTTATAGGTAACTCTTTGTTTTCATAGACCTTGAGCCTGGGTTCTGCCTACTGTCCCAGAGAAACAGCATTAGGAAGATTATATTTTGGACCTATAGTTTGAGGACAGAGAAGCCTTACTTAATCATAGGTTAATGAGAAATAAAAGACCATTAGAGTATTTTAACAAAAGCAAAGTTAATGGTAAATAATCCTAGTGAGAGTCAGCTAAGTGGTATAGTAGGTAATGCACTGGACCTGAAGTCATGAAGACCTGAATTTAAATGCAGCCTCAGGCACTTATTAGCTGTGCAACCCTGGGTAAGTCATTTAACCTCTGTCTGCCTCAGTTTTCTCATCTGTAAAATTGGGGAAATAATAGCACCTACTTCACAGGATGGTCATGACATAACATATAATGTTTTACAAACCTTGAAGCACTATATAAGTACTATATGTTAGAAAAAGAGAGAGGTATGTTTTCATATTCTAATACAAATATTAAAATCACACATATCAGAGCACATAGTCATACAGAGATCATAGGATGAAAGAAGCCTTTGGTATAGTACTTAAGGAATCTGTTTCTCTACTTTAATCACTGTTAAGTGCCAGGCACTGTGCAAAGTGATAGAGATATAATTAATTACATAAAAACAAGGTAGTCTCTGCCATCAAAGAGCTTACTTTACATACCAGTAGGGGAAAAAACACATATTGAGGGTGAGGGAGGAGGGTGACCAGAAAAGAGTGTTTTGGCTCAGAAAGTCAGGATTGGTAAATTGAGTCATAGAGCAATTGGCTGGCATGTCCTTTGCAGGTATGTAAAAAGCATTTTGCAAACATTAAAATATTACATAAATGTTAAGTCCAGCCAACAAGCATTTATTTATGTCAGCTTTACAAATATTATCTCTTTGATCCTCGCAACAACCCTGAGAGGGAAATGGTATTACTGCCCCATTTTACAGTGGAGGAAAGTGAGGAAGAGAGCACTTTAGTGACTTGTCCAAGGTCACGCTGTTAGGAAGTATCCAAGGTCACATTTGAATTCAAATCTTCCTGACTCCAGGCTCAGTGCTCTATTCACTGAGTCACCTAGTACTCAGTGGGGTTTAGGGATAAAACAATTTCTAGCCAAGTCAATATACACTACTTGGGGACAGGTAGCACTACTGTTGATTTACAGGAAGTCAAGATAAGGCAATTATACATTTCCATTTGCTAAGTACCTCTCTTTTGTTCTAAATAAGGAAAAGCAATCTTTAGACTTCCAAGTAGAATTTATCTATATCATTGTGAGGGGGGGAGGTTCTTGGCGAGATAGGTTTTCTTTAAATGATTGTCTGAAAGGGGGGAAAAATACTAAGAGTTTTAATATGGCAAAAAGGAGATGATTGTGATATTTGTTCATTTACACAACTATTTCAGTGGTTAATCAGAGAAAACAGGACATGAGTGTAATTGTCAATCATATCAGTTGCATCACATATCACATGCTCCTCCTAAAAGAAGAGGTGCTTATAACCCAGAAGGGATTTCCTTTTCTTTGCAGTTGCTTGTGAAATGTCTTCTAAATCTAGAGTAAAGCTAATAAAAGAAACCTCCCAAAGTATTTGATCGGGTTATACTTTTATGATCCCCACTCATTATTCTCATTCCCAACAAGTCAGCCCAATATGGGCTGGGATCAGAAGGGAGGGGCTATGTGGGGAGAGGGTAAGAAGACCTATAGCTTCAGCTGGAAGAAAACAGGTAAACAGAGAAGGGCAGAGGGAGTTTTCTCATTTCACTAAAAAGTTCCTTAATCACAATCACCTTAGTGTGAAGTATGCAATAAGTGAGGGAAAATAATTCGCTGACTTTGGAGTCTGAGGCCCTCAACTGGTCATAGCCACTTTCAATTGTTCTTATGTATTTATCCCATTCTAATTGTATTGTAGTTATCTGTGTCCTGCCTTCTGGGAACTTGTCACTTATTACTGTGTATTAGAGTTATCTGTGTCTCACCACCCCCTCCCCCCACCCCCCCATCTGAACTGTGAGCTTCTGGAGCACAGATTTTGATGTCTTATCTACTTTTTATCTGCCGTCACTAAGCATAGTGTTTTGCACCTAGGAGATGCTCAATTAGTATTCCTTTAATTGAAATAAATTGAATTATTCAAGCCTCTCCTTGACTGTATGTTGGGCTTTATTCATCTCTGCATCCGCTCATGCTCAACCATGCTAACTAAACACCATGCTCTGGACAAAGTGGGCACTAAACAGATGTTTGGTGGGTGCATTAATGAATCATTTCCAATCCCTTCTTCCCTTGGGTTATGATTTGTACTTCATGACTATATCTTTCTGTCCATTTCTCACAGGTGAAGGAGGCCATGCAGAGAATCCATGACAGGGGCAACATAGGAAAATTAATTTTGGATGTAGAAAAGGCCCCGACTCCCTTGGTGAGTATGGAGCACTGAGTGTGCAAACATAAGTTATGGGCAAATTCTATTACCTGATCCCACTTCCTAATGAGAAAAAACAGTGTCCTTTGATTGGTAGGTCTGGACGTATAACCTGTCTGCAATGTGCTTCTTTCCACTTCTTTCTACAAGCTCCCTCCTTTAGCAATCTCATTCAGACCCATGAGTTTAATTACTGAATGAGTGTTGTTTCAGACAAACTGAGACCTGGGAAAGACCTTAGCTCAAAAAGGCCAAGGTCTCCCACTGCATCCTGGGCCATCTCTCTCCCATCAAACTGTGAGTTCCTTAAGAGCAGGGACTGGTTTTTGCCTCTCTTTGTATCCCCAGCACTTAGCGTACCTGGCACACAGCAGGTGCTTATTAAATTTGTGTTGACTAGAACTGGCAGTGACTTTATAAGTCATGTAGTTAGGTCCTCTCCTTTTACCAAAGAGGAAACCAAGACCCAGAGAGTGTGAGCAGCTTGCCTGAGGTCACCGAAGTATTAAGGGCAGAAGCAGGATTTGTACTCGGGCTCTCTGGCTCCAAAACCAGTACTCTTTCCTCTGTCCCAGCACATCTCCACTTTAAGTGTTACAAAGCTCTTTTCTTCAAACGACTCTGTGAGGTAAGTTGTCCTACTATGATTATTACCATTTTACATTTAAGCAAACTGAGGCCCACACGAAGTGACTTGGTCAGAGTCACACACTTTAGGTCCAGTGTTTTTCTTTATGCTGCACCACCAATCCACCCTGGATAGGACAGGTAAGGCAAAGTCCCTGCCCTCAAGAAATCTGCAATTTACTCTAATAAGTCTATGAGCCTGGCCACTCTACATAAGATGGGGATGCTGTCATACAGCCTGTGCCTTTGACACAAACCCATTGTCCCTTCTGGATCCTCTCACCAATTTCCAGGGTCAGTGCTCCAAAGTGCAAAGAGAGGATATCAAGTCTTTTTCCCTGTGCCTGGAATGTTGTCCTTCACTCTTTGCCTTTTTGATTCTTGTCCTTCCTTTGAAACCCACCTCAGCTGCCTCCTCTTCCAGGAAGCCTTCCTGATCCCTCACAGTCACCTGCCACCAGCCTTCTGTCCCCAGAAGGGGGACATCATCACCCTTTGTTTTACCTCTCTATTATGCTTTTTTTGTAATATTGTTCATATTGTGAGCTCCATAAGAGCCTCATTTAACATGTTTTCTCACATACAGTGGGTGCTTAAATAATACTTGCTGAAAAAAGGAACAAACACAAGTGATTGAATCAGGGGGCTTAGTAGAGGTCATTCAAGATCAATGGTCATCCTTTATTCCAAGGCCTACTATAAGTCCTAGATTGTTTTTCTTTCCTGCCTGGGTTAAGGCTGACAAGTCCTATAACTTACAAACAAAATGAGCATCTGCCTCCAAGTGGCTGCTATTGAATTTCTGTATTGTTTGTATTGAATGTCTGTAATCAAGGTAAAACTATCCTATCCGTTTCTGTTTATTTGATGGGAAGCAAGCCGCTTCAGGGAGCCCTGCCAGTTCTTGGAACATTCTCAGAAATCTTATTGCCCATAAGTGGTGAAACTGAGGAGAGGCCACTGAATGCAGTGGAGAGAAAACTGCTGGGTGTCAGGAGACTGGGTTTTAAGGCTCTGTCTTGCTATCAACTCACTGTGTGACCTTAAGAAATGGCTCCTCGGGCCTCATTTTCCACCTCTTTAAAATGAGTGGGCTGATTTTCTATGATCTTCCTTCTAGATCTAATATTTAGTGATTTTTAGTTGGTGCCAAAATGCCTAATCAACTACTATTGGTAGAGACAACAACCTCCACTTTGATAGTTCCTTCTTACTCTGTAAAGAGTTTTTTAGATCATTGAAGTTTGTGTGTATGGCATCGTAGAGTTGGAAGGGACTCCGGAGATTATTGAGATAATGCCTCACAGTGGGTGGAGCTGCTCTCCAACAAGTGGTCACCCAGCCTCTTCTCCAACACTTCCAGTGACAGAGAATTTACTGCTTTAAGAGGCGGCCCATTCCATTTTTGGACAGCTCCAGTAGTTAGGAAATTCCTCCCTTTCTGGCTCCCCATAACCTCTTCTCCATTGCTCCAAGCAATGCCTTTGGGGCCAAAGCAGACCAAGTCTCATCTCTCTTGCATATGGCCATGTGCCCCAAAGTCACCTCATCTCCAGAATGAGGGTCGTTATTTTTTTTAACCAGTCCACACCTGGAATGGTCTCAGTCCCCCTCACCAAGCAGATTGCTCTTCTCCGAGCTTCCTTACTCTAGTTTGTCAGTATCCTTCTTAAAATGTTATACTTAGAACTAGACACCTGATGTGGCCCAATCCGGGCAGAGTACAATGGGATTATTCCCTGTCTAGCTCGGAACACTATGCCTCCATCAAGTCCAAGGTCGCATTAGCTATTTTTACTCTTGCATCATCCATTTGACTCAGATTGAGCTTGGAATCTGCTACAACTCCCACACATTTTTTGTTTGAACTGCTTTTGACCAATATTTTGTAGCCATCTTTGTTTCATGCCTTTCTTTTCATCTTTTGTATCCTTAACAAAGTAGCTATAATAGCTAGCATTTATGTAGCACTTTAAGATTTGAAAAGCACATTCCATTTCTTATCTCATTTGATCCTCACAAAAACCCTGTGAAGTAGGTGCTATTATTAGCCCCATTTTTACAGATAAAGAAACCAAGGCACAGAGAGGTTAAGTGACTTGCTTAGGGTCACATAGCTTGTAAGTGTCTGGGACAGTATGAAATTGGTAAATTAGAAAGCTCTCTGTGAAGCTTCTTGGTTCACTTTTTTCCTTCCTTATCATGAGAATTTCATTTTTGTGAGATTCTTATCTCTCTTGAGCTGCCTTCTCTTTAGAGGCTAAGGCCATGAGGTCTTTTCTTTACTTTCTCTGAACTCTTTGAAATCTACTTGTCTAAGTTCCAGGATAAGCACAAAGTAATGACCAGTGTTTGCCTCCTTATAGATCATAAACAACTCTAAGATGACCGGGTTCCTGCCTTCCTAAGATTGGCACCATTTTACCATTAATTTCTCCTTGCTGTCAGAAGCAGGTCCAGAATAGTAGTTGCCCTCATTCCTTCTTATACTTTTTCAAAGATGAAAATTATCAGCAAGGCAGATAAAGAATGTATCAGCCACTCTACTCTTGTTAGAGAGTAGGCTCCAGCAGGTATCAATAGAGTTAAAAGCCTCCATCACTATTGTTTTTGGTTTTGCCTCTATACCAGCTATGTGATCTGCATTAGGAGCTGATTGTCCATCTTTTCCTTTTGACCCAGTAGTCTATAATGTGTTACCATCAGGACTATGAATAAGAGGAGGAGCTTGCAAAGAGACAATTTTCTGCTCAATGTAAGGGAAAATGTCCTAACAATTAGAGCTGTCCTGGAGGAAGGGAGCCTATCACTGGAGGTTTTCAAGCCAAGGCTGGACGACCACTTAGAGACGGTAACGAAGAGGGGTCTCCCTGCATCTCCCAACTCCTCATCTAGAGCTCGATCCCTCCAGGACTCTACGTCAGAGCATCTAGATGATTCAGGGGAGGGCTATGAGAAGAAGGGTTTATGGTTAGGAGGAAGGATTCTTATTCAGATTGGTTTTCCCTTTCTGATATAGGCAAAGACTCTGAGATGGGTCAGGGGAAAACCCCACTGCACAAACATAGGGGAGAAAGAAATGGGTGTTCAGCAAGAGGTGTCTCAAACTTAACATGTCCAAAACAGAAATCATTATCCTTCCCCTGAAATCTTACCATCTTCCAAATTTCCCTGTTGCTCGGGAAAGCCAGGGTTCACTGGCTTCCTTCAAGACTCGGCTCAAATCTCCCTTTCCTAATCACACTCCCACCTACCCGCCATGCCCAATTATTAGTGCCTTCCCTCTGAGATTACCTTCCATCTACTCTCTCTATTTTGTATGTACATAGTTGTTTTCATGTTGTCTCCCCCATTAGACTGTGAGCTTCTTGAGGCCAGGTTTCTTTGTATCCCCAGGGCTTAGCACAGGGTCTGCCATATAGGAAGTGCTCAATAAATGCTTATTGGCTGACTTAGGAGGGAACCAGTCCAAAACCGAGGCTTGCCTGCCATAAGTTAGGCTAGACCTAAGAAGCCAGGGAAGTTCAAGGGTCTATCACAGATGACCCAGAGCCTCCCCTATACCATTTGTTTTGTGATTGCAGATGGCCAATGACAGCACAGAAACGAGTGAGGCTGGAGAAGAGGAGGAGGACCACGAGGGAGACAGTGACAACAAGGAGCGGATGCCCTTCATCCAGTAATGGTCCCCATGCCCAGTGAAAGGAGGGAAAACATGATTGGAGGAAGGGAACCGGACTGGGGAATCTATTCTGTGCGCCAGTGAACAAATGCCGTAGTGCCGTGTGTGTTGTGTTTGTCTGCAGTCCGCCAAGCTATAAAGCTGTTGGTTGTTGTTTTTTGAACTTCAGTGCCCACCCTACCCTGCTCAGTATTGCATCTTGGCATTGATGTGACGTGCCATTCCTCTTCCTTGTGTGAGTGAGGTCCACCTGTTGTGGTTCCCTCTCAGTATTCCTAGAACAGCCTTGCAAATTAGGATGAGCCCACAGGCCCAACACCTAAAAGATATTCCTGCTTCAGGGAGGGGTTGGACTTCAGGATCCCTTCCAGCTCTTAAGATTGTAGAATTCTGTGCCAGGCAGTGAGCATGGTAGAATTTGAAGAAAAGGTGAAGCATTTGATCAAGTCTTAGAGTTCTTCAGACCAGTCCTGCTACTCACTGCCCTCAGTCATGCTATTGCTCTGACTTTAGGATATGGAGACCAGATTGGCTCAAATAAGGCATTGTTTGAGAAAACAGGAGGTAGGTTAGTGACAGGTGTTGTCTGAAGGTACATTTCATTTCCCACAAAGCGTTCTTCCCAAATACCACATTTTTAATCCACAAAACTATGTCACAAAGTGTGGCAGGTGGGAAGCCCAAATTAATTCCTGAGAGGATTTTTGCGCATTCGCCATCAGAAGGCCAAACTGAGCTGTATTTAAGCCACTTTCAGTATTGATCCCCTAAGGACCAAAAGCTTGCAGATCTTGTGTGAAAAAGTCAGTGGGCATCTTTCCTTTTCCAGAGCTTGTGCCAACCTTAAACATTTGTTGATGATCCAGAAGGTTAATTTTCATTGGTTAAAGCCAAACACAAAAGTAGCCGGATCTTTTTTGATATGCAGTGTTCCCAGAGAGCCACCATTTCAGAGAGCATTTGGAATGACTTGCCCTTCTTCAATTCTTCAGTATTTCAAACAGTCTGCAGTTTCATCAGCATAGTTGCCTCCTTCACTTATGCAGATCTCAGCCCCTCCCTACATTAGTAGATGTTCTTTATGAATGGCTACGGCCAAAAACATTCATCCCATGGTGACCAACCCTCTGGTGATGAGCCTTCCCATACTCACAGCTAGGCTGGCCCCAAGGTGACAGACACAGAGTCTGGCACTGGAAGCAAAAAGCTGGAATGACCTAAATCCCTTTGAAATCAGCATCCGTATACCTCTGAGAATATTAAACATGATTTCCCTTACTCTTTTGTAAGAAACAGCTAACAGAGCTACCTCCCAAGGATGGGTATAATCACCAGGCCTTAGAAGCACTTCAGACTAATTGTCTCCACTAAGTGGCTCCACAAACAGGCTGTCTTCACCATGGACAAACAGGACCACCCCAACCTCCAAACAAAATAGACAGGGAGAGGCTGGCATGGCCTTATGTCTCAGCTCACTTTCTATTCCTGGGAAATGGAAGGATTCCTGGGTCCCCTTTCCTCCCACACACCAAGGACCCTACTTCTCCCACAGAACTCCAGGGCAGTCATGATGAATATGTATTCCAACACTCCTCAAAGTGATGGGACTGAATGAGTCTTTTATAAATTGTTTACACATTTCCTAAGATACCCTCATTTCTTCTCCATTGAAGTAGCGTATTGGAAACCTCAGAAATTGTGCTCCTTTAGCAGCATTAGGCATGGGGAGTGGGGAGGGGAGGAGCAGAGGGCAGCTGTGAAGATGCCTCATTGTGCCAAACCTAAGCCAGAAATGAGTTTCCCTTGGTTGTATAGGTGGGGTGAGTAAGTAATAATATACATTTAGGGGAGGGGAGGAAGGAATTACCCTTGGAAATTTACCAAAGGCAATTTTTCCATGAAGATAAAAACATTTCCTAGTTAATGCTGACAGAATTTTCTCTTTTCCATATCAGGAGTAAGTATATTCCATCCCAGTGCCATTTAGAGATATAGGCAGTGTACTGTAGGGGTATATATGTTACAGCAGTGACAACTGTTGTCAGGTTTTACTGTGGGCTTTGTCCCATTCTGTAGTTGTGTTTTGTTGATTTGTCTTACCTCTCCCAGAAACACATCCAAAATGGAGGCAGAGAGGAACCTCGACAGAGCTATGTACCCTGTGTCTCTGAGAGGTACTGGAAAAGCCTCTGCTAGATAGACTAAGTCAAGTGGTAGTGGGATGGCCCAATTGGGATGGCAAGGGGAAAGTCTTGAAGCTCAGCTCTTTTTAGAAATGAAATAGTCTTTGGGATCTCAGTGACGGGGCAGAGGAAGATGGGTGCCCACGCTCTCCAGCTCTTCCTGGTGCTGTAAAATGGGGCCAGTGCAACTATCTACCATTGTACAAGTCAAGGACAAGAAGGCCAATGCTGCCCCCAGACACCACCTGCAGACACAAAGGGTGGTGTCAGTGGAAAACACGTGTGATCAGGCCACCTGTCACGACCAGGCCACAGCTGATCCCAGGGGCTGGAGGGACACAAGGAGGGGGAGGGGACAGGAAGGAAGAGAAATGTGAGCTCTACCACAGTTACTGTTTGTATTACCCTCTTTCCAGTCAAATGATTGTTTTCCTGGAGCAAAGGAAAGTCTTGATTTGCCTTAAGGAACTGTGACGGCCTCTTTGGAACTCAAGCCTGATTGGAGTGATCTTAAACATTGTTTAATTGTCCCTGTTGCTTTAGAGCTTTGGTTATATTGTGCCTACAAAGCAAGTTATGTTTACATTAAAATATGAATAAAATATCACGCATAGCATTAACCCCTGCCTGGCTGTCACTGATTGAACATAAGGAGCGACTCAAAGTGCTGTTACACAGAGTGAGGCAGGACACTGAAATGAATTCCCTGCACCCTTTTCTAAGAACACCCATGCTACACAAATCGTTTTACAGAAAAGCCTTGTATAAACAAGTCTGAGCTCATAAAAGAGAAAAAAATCACCAGAATCATGAAATGCCACTGAATTCTTTTCAACAAACAATTATTAAGCACATAGGGAAAGACACTGTACTTTGTGCTGGGATTTAGATGGTAGATATTTATTCCACAGACCCTGGCTTCAGGGAGTTTACAAACTTCAGGGAAAAAATGACAAGAGCACAAATAAATATGGTACAAGGGGAAGGAGATGTTCAGATAAAGTGCTTTGAGAAACACGAGGAGGGAAGCTATAGGGAAGGCTTCATGGAGGAAGTAAGGATTGAACTGGGCCTTAAAGGAAACAGAATTTCGGCTGATGAAGGTGGGGGACAGAAGTCCACTGTGTTTGGTGTGAGCAAAAGCAGGGTGCTAGAGGGGCTAGGTCAAGAGTGAGATGGAGAGTTCAATGAGAAGGTAAAAGTACATGAAGGACAAGATAAGGATGAAAAGGTGATTTGGAGCCGGGTTATGAAGAGAGATCAGGCAGGCTGTATGGCCCTTTCCAGCTCTAATAATTTATGAATGAAATGAAATGAGCAAACAAGTGAATGAAAAACACTAAGGGCAGGTTCTGTGCAAAGTATCATGCTGCTTGCTGGGTCTACAAATAGAAATGTAAGACTGTCCCCACCCTCAAGGCCCTCTCATTCCAATGGGCAGCACAACCCATGAGTCTATGAATCTACCTATCAAAGAAAGCAGCTCTGCCTTTTTCTGGAAAAGGTTTCTGAGACAGAACCTCCTCTTCTCATCAACATCCATCCAACCAATGCAATTTTTTTTTGCTTGTTTTTTTTGTTCGTCAGTGGGGTTAAGTGACTTGCCCAAGGTCACACAGCTGGTAAGTGTCAAGTGTCTGAGGCTGGATTTGAACTAGGGTCCTCCTGACCCCAGAGCCGGTGCCCTATCCACTACGCCACCTAGCTGTCCCATTTTTTTCTCTTTCTTAAAAATTTTCCCATCAGGATCCTGGCCCACAACACATGTACAGCCTATGTCATGCTGAGTCACTTAACTTCTCAGGCCTCATTTGCAAAGTGAAGGGATTGGATTGGCTAACCTCTCAGGTTCCTACCTCTACATCTGTGATTCTGTGATCTACAATATGATTCAGTTTGAGAAACCATGATGGACAGATGTCTTTTGAGGTACACGTGGACTTCTTAAAGTGAGGCAAACCTTCACTGACTCATTTTCTCAAAGACGGATAAGGAACTAATATGTGTAAAGTAGTGACTTTACATTGCTACAGTGTACTGGTTACGGCCTCCCAAAATTTTTCCCCAAACTAATTTTTGTTTAATTGGGCAAAGTGTGTCACTTGCTCAGTCCTCAGTTTACCCATTTATCAATGGGTATATTCCTCAGTGCAAGATTTATTATTTATACCACTCTCGGAGACAGGTACACAAATTATTGTAATTGATTTGGAGGCAGCATGGCACAGTGAAAATAAGATTCATTCTGGGAGTCAAAGGCCCCCAGTGTTCCCTCCCCACTCGACTATAAAGGGCTGCTGGATCCTGGGAATCAGGGGTTATTATCATACTAAGGACTCTAATAGGTCTGTTGGGACACCCCAGTTTCCATGAAGGGCATAGGGTAGAAGCATCAGAAATTCTTGTGGGTCAGTTTCTATATGGGCACTTATGCAACTTCTATGCCAGTTATGGTGGGTAGGACCAAATAGCAACCCTTGGAGTTGCTTGAGACATCTCATGTAAGGATCCCAGTAGCCTCCCTCTTCTGCCAAATGAAGTATGGCAGGAGAAAGATGAAATGACCAAGGAAACAAAGGTTTGATATTTTGAGGATTTTTATTTACTAAGCAATGCATGTCAGTTGCCTAACAAAGATCCTCAGCTTAGGTCTGCCTGGACTCTGAATACAGGGAGAGACAGATTGTTTTTATACATTAAAAACAATCAAATAAGACCTAATTAAAAGGAAACAATATAACATTAGGTAATCTGGTTTCTAATTGGATGAAAGATTAGGAACTTTCTGTCTTGGGAGAGGGAGAGTGAACCGGTGCAATTTTCTGAAATCAGAAAAGGAGGTGTCCCACTCACCAGTGTCTGTAAGCAGTCAAGATGATGTGGAAACAATAGTGGATTGCTCAGAGTGGTGACAGTTTTCAGATAAGATAGATGGTGTGCTTAAGATGTACAATTATGAGAAAATTTGTATGAATCTTCAGAGCCGAGTTTCTGGTCAACATAACCTGGATCCTTGGTTAAGAGTCTCTAAAGAGCAGGGAGAGATGATTCAGCTTCCCAGCCATGCAGGGCTAGGTTCAATCAATGCAACAAAGTTTTCTCTCAATTCCCACAATTGAATGAAGTTTTCTCGCAGAACAGAAATTGGGTTAGACCCATGATTGAACAGAAAGGGAACTGAGCTAGCTCCAGAACTGAGTCACAAGATGGAGTCAGTGTGATTCATTCAATTAATTCCCACGATTAACTACTTGCTCTCCTAATCCCCTCCATTCCCTCAGAAGTCAAGGAAACCCCGCAGCCCAAGGAGTAAAACCCAGCCAAAGTAAGGTCCAAGGTAATGGCAAAAAACTCCTTTTCTTAAGATTCTGCCATGTATGCTGGGTTAGTTTTCCCCTAAATGGCAGCAAAGTATAGGAAAGCCTCATTTTGTTTCAATCTGGGACCTGAACCACTGGACCAGCAAGAGTCAGGCTTGGTCCACAACACACAGGATCTTAATAGGCATTAGAACTGAAAGGGACCTTGGAAATCACCTAGCTCAACTCATTAACTAAAAATTTTTTTTTGACTAACAGACATTTATTTTCTCTCCTTTCCGCTTCCCCTCCAATGAAAATGAAAGAAAAAGAGAAAAACAAAACCCTTGTAACAAATGTTCATAGTCAAGCAAAACAAATTCCCACATTGGCCACATCCAAAGAAATATGCCTTATCCTACATCTTGAATACATCATCTTTCTGTCAGAGGTTAACCTATTAATGTTACAGGTGAAGAAACTAAGGCCCAAAGAGAAGTGACTGACCTGAGGTCATGCAGGTAGTATAAGCAGGAGAGTAATTTCTAGGACCCCGGTCTTCTGACTCCAAATCCATTGCATTTGGCATTACACTGCACTGTTCCTTGTATGTATTTGCTTTAAGGAAATAATAATTCCTTTGAAATGTTAGAGAATCAACCCCATTCCAATAAAATGCCATTTTTCTCTTAAAATTAGTGCATCGCATGTCGAGTCCAAAACTATGTGGATTTTGAACTAGGCCTTTAAGGTTCTAAAGCCTCACTCGCCCGGAATGGAATCCCCTGGTTGGGGACGTTACTTAGATAGCATAGTGTAGAGGAAAGACCTGGACTGGGTTAGCTTGGGTGGGAATCTTGGCTCTGCTGCTTATGAGCTTGGTAACCCTGCCCCCTTCAGGCCTCTCTCATCTGTAGGACAAAGGGGCAGGTCTGCATGGATCTCCAAGGTCGGGACCACAGGCAGCTCCCCTCCTTTTTTTATAAAGGATAGACTGCCCAGGGCCTAACATTTAGCTTCCTGATTGGTGTGAGACGATGTTTAGTCTCCAAGCAATAAGCAGGCTCCTACTGGCAGCCAGGCAAAGCTATTTGAAAATGTGCTTTATGAATTATTCAAGTTAGGTCTCAGACAAAGGACTGCAGCCAGGCTGGAGCGGATGTAACAAACGCATACACACACAAATATACACTCACACTAATATACACCCACAATCACATGCATGCATGCATGCATGCACACATACTTTTTATATGAGGAGAGATGCCTAGGGCACTGATTAAATATTCAATTAGTCTTGGCACAAACATTTATTAAGCACCTACTATGTGCAGAACCCAGTGCTTGGTGTTATAGGGGAGACAGAACAATCTTACCATGTGATGCTAAGGAAATCATTTCTCCCTCTCTAGGCCTCAACTTATTCCTCTATAAAATAAGAAATTCAGCCTAGATGACCTCTAAGGTCCCTCCCTCCTCTGATATTTGATGTTATATGTTTTAAGGTCCCCTTACAGAGCTAACATTCTATGTTCTGTCTGAAAGTCTTTCTTAGTAACTCTGACATAACATTCATTTCAGGTCTAACATTCAATGGGGCAGCTAAGTGGACAGAGCACAGGCCCTGGAGTTAGGAGGACCTGAGTTCAAATTTGGCCTCAGACACTTACTAGCTGTGTGACTCTGGGCAAGTCACTTAACCCCAATTGCCTCACAAAAAAAAAAAAGGCTATAAATATATCCCCCTCCTCCAAAAATAAATAAATAAGAATAAAGTCCCTTCAAGCTCTGATATCCTGTTCTACATTCAAGGTCCATTCTAGTTCAGATATTCTATTTTTTCTATGGCCCATTCTTTCCACTAATGGTGTATATATTGGTGGGAATGTATGACTGAGGGTTAACAATTTTATTGTTGCCTTTTTTTTTCTTTTGCTATGCTATTTAATTCGGTGTTTTTGTTTTTTCCTAATTGTGTCCTCTCACTGACAGGTCCAGGGTTAAGAGGCTGGCTCAGCAGCTAGCTCATCCTCTACCCTGCCCCTAGGCTCAGTTCCACTTGGTGCTTTGCAAACTTGGTGATTTGAATTATAAAAAGAAGTACTGAGGGTAAAGAAGGTTGTCAGGAATGTTTCCAGTTCCAGTGGCCTGCAGGGTGCTTCTTTCAGATCCTGACTGCTGAAGGGAAGTTGAGTTTTATAGCCTTTTAGTTCTTGCATGTTGTGTTTTCAAACTTCCATTATTAATGTAGTGTTCCCTGGATTTTTATAGTGCCTATTGCATTTTAAACGAAAAACTTTGATCCTGCTAGCCTAAGCCAA